GTCTGCTCAAAAACGCAGTTCGTTCTGTTGTTGTCACGTTAATTCGGCCAGTCCTTTTTTGTCCGTGTAGCCGATCGATCGAGGCGAAAGCAGAAGTAGAGAGCAATCGGCGAACGCACCTCGAGATCGGGCACGCACGCGTTCTTCGCCAAATACTAGCGTAATTTAGTTAACCCTCGCGCCTCGTGGCAGCTGTCGATGTGACGACGAGCGAAATAATTTCGAAAGCGCACCTGTCGCCTTTAATCGGGATAGTGACGCGAAGTACTGCATGTTGTTGTTACCTCGCGAAAGTGACAATCACGAGCGCGCCTCGCGAGTCGTTCTCAACGGCAACCTGTACGTTCGCATTATGTCTTACGGATAGGAATCCTTGTACTTTGTGCCCTCGCCGCGTCCTAAGGTTAAGTACGCGAGCGATTCTTTGGGCGAGTATCACTCGCGTATTTTTACTCTTTCCCCGATGGTCTCTCAGGAGTGCGTATAAACCGTACGATAAAAAAATATAAATAGACCAGGTGGTGCGTTTGCCGCGCGTGTATTTATATCCATTCGTGCCGATTCCCATGGTCCTTTCGGTAGTAATTCGTGCCCGGCGCCTACATTCTCTAACGGATCACCAAGAAAATCTGGCGCGTTTATTCTGCTCGAGGATAATGTCAAAACGAAGAGGAATATCATATTTCCGAGTTTATTGCAATTCGCACTTCTAATCTCTGAAAAATAATCTGTCATCTCTAATCTTTAAAATCTCTTTGAATGTACAACAATGATTCATCGTAGAAGAATTCTTCGATAGAAATATGCATTGAGTGAGTGCAAAAGTCTTCAGATAGATTTCTCAAAGATATCGTGACTGATCCTGTCTTATGGCAGCATTTATAAATACGTAGACGTATTATATATTGTTGAAAAGAGGTCATTTTAGATAGAATAGAATAGCTGTCATTTTAGCTAGAATAGAATAGCTGTCATTATAAATAGAATGGAATAGTAGAAATTGGTTTAATTTGGGCTAATTTAGTGATGTGTATAAAAATAAAATTGAAAGTGAGTATTGATAGAGTCTACTTGCACGTAATTATAATGTATAAATGTCGGAGAGAAACAAGCATTTCGAATACCGTGAAAAACAGTTGCGATGTGTTTGGGGAAAATACTGTGTCGACCCAACCCGCGAGAAATGGTTCGCAAAATTTAAACGGGGTGATTTTAACCTCGAAGATCAGCCACGTTTCGGTCGCTTCTGGCATTGATGACGACATTGTGTGCAATTTAGTGAACATCAATTCACGAATTTCAACACAAGAGTTTACTGAGAAGCTAAACGTCGACAGACTGACCGCGTTTCAGCATTTAAAGAAACTTGGATACAATTTAAAGCTTAATATTTGGATTCCACATAATCTGACAGAAAATAATAAAATAGATCGTATCTTTCTACAGTCAGTTTCCTTGCTTGGCCGACTAAAAACCAATCCGTTGCTGATCCGATCAGTTAATTACGACAAACAGAAAATGGATCCAATGTGACAATGTGGAACAGAAACAAACTTGGATGCAAAACAACAAAAGCGATCAGCTTATATCAAAGACTGGTTTGCATTCTCAGAAGATTATGCTGTCTGTATGATGGGATTATAAAGGTGTGATCTTTTATGAGCTGCTCCCACCGTTGGCTAAATGATCAATTCCGATAAGTATTGTTAATAATTGAACAATTTGAAGACAGCAATTAAAAGAAGAAAAAAGTCCGATTTTGGCTACATGGAAAGGCGTCGTCTTTCATCATGACAACGCGACTCCACACTTCAAAGTAGACGAAATGCAAGCTCAAGAAGCTAAACTGGAATATCCTATTACACTCGCTGTATTCTCCTGATATTGTTCCATCAGATTATTATTTCGGTCGATACAAAACATTTGAATAATAGAAAATTCGCTTCTTTCTACGACTTATAAAACTGTATTTCTTTATTTTTAGACGAAAAGCCAGCCATCTTTTATGATAGGAATATACGAATATTATCAGAACGTTGACAAAATATTATAGAAAACAATAGGGATTACCTGGTAGAATACCAATGATAAATAAATTTGTAATAAAATTACTTTATTTATTTTTTATCACGAAATTCATTAAAACTTTTGCACTAACCCAATATAAATTTCAATTTCAATTTCATCGACTGTTAATGCTAAAACCAAAGTGGCCAAAAAGGTGTTTATAATTTCTTATAAAAAATATCCAAATTTACAACACTACAACAGGTACGTAAATTTGCCAACAACTTTATTAATCAATCTGTAAATATTGCATCCTTTATGAGTTAATTATCTCTGGCACTCACACACGGAAAAAAGGATTAGCTGCTGCAGAAAAAATCTATGTGTGATAACTAAATTTCTAAATTTGTGACATATAGATATCTGAAATTATAATTGCCTGTAGACATATATTTAACTATGAAACCGATCTAGTAGCAACAGTTTTAGTTACAGCAATAAATATATTTTCAGGAAACTATAATTAGCTATGGCAGTGAGATCTTTTTTCCGCACAAATAAACGAAATAAAAATACGAAAAAAATAATTAAATTTTGTTCAAAACAATGTCATGCAAAATATGCTATAAAAGTCTGAATGTAAATCTTTTAATAAAGAACAATGGTAAAAAAGCCGTTTTTTGTCTACTAAGCAAACGTTATCATTCCTTGACTAATTTTGACCAGTTAAATACAGTGGTGCTATTAGAATTACCCGGAAATACTGGGAACTTCCATTTTGAGGTTAAAGTTGTATTTCTCCAAATAATCTCCCTTATATCGTTAAAGTATTACTGAACTTGTCGATATGGGGAGAAAATTGCTATCTGCAAATACACAAACAAGTGCAGGATATTTTCAATATCAATTAGATGAATGATTTCCGATATCTAAAATCCAATATGGCGCAGTCTTAAATATAAGATTGTTCTATTTTGGGGTTATTTTATGTTTTGATAATGTTTATTATTTTTTATTAAGCTTTTAGATCAGTAGATTTTTGGGTTTTAGGTAAGCACCCTTTGAATTTCCATGTTTTGCAACTTTATACAATGACACACTTAACATTATTCAATTTTGTTTCAAGAAGTCGCTATATTATAAATATCCCATTAAAAAAAACTATAAATTCATCTTTAACTTAGTTAACTTCAAATACCTTGTAAAATATAAGATAAATAAAGTTCCTGGTGTTTCCCAGTAATTCTAATAGCACCACTATTTGGTCAAAATTAATAACAAATGATAACATTTCCACGTTTGTCTCAGTAAGCAAAAAATGGCCTTTTTTCCATTGTTTTTTGTAACTGTATCAATATATCAAAAAATTTGTATTATTGTATGATGTAAATTTAATGATTAATTGAATAAGGTGTATAAATCATAAATGTATCATAAATTTATAATAATTTATAATAATTTTAAAAAGTGTGTAGTCTCCATTATTGATTATTTCACGTCGTGATACATGAAAGTGTAGGGTGCATTCATATTTTTAATTATAACATCAATAAAACTAAAAAGAATAAATAAACCTTTTCATCCTTCCATTACGTATTTTTCCAAAAATCTGTTATTTCCATCGCTCTGATAGAAATAGGTCATTAACCATCAGTACTAATTAGTACTAAGCTGTTGAGACATTTGTCACTCGACATGCTTGTGCCTGTGCGTGAGCACCTTTCGGCTGACCCTCTTCCATCCGTACGCATTGTATAGGTTATCACCCAATTTCTCTTGACTTTCGACTATTACGGCAGCAACCGGTGGACACGGTCCAATTTATCTGGCACGGATTTTCGAGGATACCTCCGTTCTGTCTTTCTCGCATATCTCTCCTTCTGCCTCTCGCTTTGTGCCTTTTAGTCAGACCCTCCTGCCAACCGTTTCGCGGGGGTGTCCATCAACTGAACACTATTACGTTACTCCCAGTGATGGCGGAGCGAAGGGATGGACAGGGACGTTGAGAGGGAGAAAGAGAGAAGGAGAGAGAAGTAGAAAGACCGAGACAGACGCACGATTCGCACAAGAGTAAAGAAGCATGGTGGAAAGAGAAGCTATCCGCGACTACAGATACAGATAAATCAAGGGAGAGAGAGAGAGAGAGAGAGAGAGAGAGAGAGAGAGAGAATACATAAGAGAAACAGACAGTAGGAACGAGAGCGAGCGAGAAGACAACAGAAAGAGAGGGGAAGAGAATCGGAACCACCTCTCCCGTTTCTTCTAGCTCTATTCTAAGGAAGTCGTCACCAAAAATGGTGGGGCACGTGCGGCGTATATGCGACGATGCGCGTAACATCGTCGCCCTCGGCCCGTTATCATCGGCGCGACGTGTCCGGCGTGAATCAAGGTCCCTGCGATCTTCGCGAGGCCAAAACGTAAGGCGCGATGCAAACAACCAAGCGAGGCAAAGCTATCGGGGGCAATACCTCGACATCTATATCCAATGATTGTAACCCAACACCCGCCGCCGCCGTCGCCGCCACCACCGCCGACGACGCCGCAGAAGCGGCTTGGTCTCTGCACGCTCGAATGAAGCGCAGCCGGCCAAGAACGCACGCCAAGACAGGAATGTTAAACGTAAAAATGTGAAAAGGGAAAATTGATTTCTCGTTACAATCGCAGCTGAAGGTGCAAGGCGCGCTTGAACTCGAATAAAGAACGAAATTAGATTGTTCATTTTTAGAACAACCGTCAGTCAGTCTGCCGAATCGTGCCACATAATTTTTTCAATTTGTGCATTTCCTAACTGTAGTATGTCTTCGTCCTAGAGACAGTAAATACTTGGCGATTTTCTCGCGCTTGCTCATATACGCGTGCAGTCCTGAAACAAAATACGTGAAAACGCTAAGCGTTTGATGTGTTCCACTATCTCGTCGTGCATTCCTGTTTTGTTTGTAACGTTTATCTTTCGTGATGCTATCTTTCCGCACTTAATAGTGATTTCTTTGTAGATGCACGAAGTTGTACCACATGTGACAAAGTTTTGGCCGAATTGGAGAAAATCGACGATGATACGGACCACTTTGGAGTCGACTTTGTCAAAATCAATGATAAACGACTTGCAAAGCAATATGGCATCAAGAGCTTTCCAGCCCTTACGTACTTCCGCGAAAAAGAACCAATTATATACGACGGTAAACAACACATTAATTTTTTCCAGAATTCGCAAATCAAGCTTTGCATCGAGAGTTAGCAAATCTTAATATTTATATAATAATATATGTGTGTTACTCGCAAAAGAAATCACGATGCGTCTCTGATGTCAGGTGATTTGATGGACGAGGAAAATGTACTGGATTTCCTGACGAGCTTAGAAGCGATGGATCGGCCGGACCGTATCGAGGAAGTTAACGCAAAAATTCTGGGAAAAATCGTTGAGGATACCGATTTTGTAGCGGTTCTTTTCTGTAAGTCTTTTTCTTCATTGTACTCATTATCCTCCGACGTTGAATCCCATATAGGAAGACCAGACTACGACGGAGCCAACGCTTAGCCGATCTATAGCTATCATTAGCTAAGAGAATCTATTATCCATTCCTGGGTCATTACTGACAAATAATTGGGCACTTACTCAATTTTTAAGATTAATATAATTTAGGAACAAAGGAATTTAAGGAAACATAAATTGCAATATAACTTATAAAGTTTAAATTATAATTTACTCTTATATTATAACAGACCGAAAATTATAGTTTGTACAGATTTGTTTTATTTTTTCCGATTTACTTGTATCAAAATCGAAGCGAGAGAAAGCTAATTGAGTTTTCAGTACAGCGGAATTAACTGATAATATAGAAAGACAATCCCTTACATTTATGAATTGAGGATTTCCATAGGAAAGAAGACAATCTCAGCTTTCGAATGTAATTTACCACACGACACTACTTTTCTACAGGGAGATACCAACGAGTCGTTTGATGTAGGACCGTAAACGCGCACAACAATGTCACGTGGTACGTTTGTTGCGCCGAGCGCGCCATCTAGGAGCAAGAACTGTGAAGTCCAAATCGCAAACGCTCTACAATGCATTAGGCGCGTGCCGGCAACCGGCAAAAAAAAACAGTGTATCGCTTAAAAAATTCCGCGAACTTTTCAAATGTTCATATAAAAATCAATATATGTATATGAAACAAACGCCATTCTCTAAAATATCGAAATTTCGCGCTGCACACGTTTATGCTATATAATTGCACTTGTCATTATTATGACATATGTTCACCTGCAATAATTATGACACGTGGTACAAGTTAATGTATACGGCGTATACTATATCGGATATATATGAGATATACAAAAATGCTAAAGTATATTTATTATGTACGTACAAAAATTTTAGTCTTTTTCAGCACAGTGGTACAATCTAAAATCCAAAAAATTCCTGTTTGTATTTTTTAAAAATTCGAAGTCTATGAAATCTAAGCCATGATATAATGATAATGATTTATGTATTACAAAAATTAAGCGAAAACTTGTGAAAAGAACACTAATGCTTTAGTACACGCCTGAAAATAAAATAAGAAAAAGTATTAGAAGTTTTTATCACATCAAGTGTACGATCTTACACGTGTAATTAGTGCGAAAAATGTCGGGTAGAATTTTCAGTTTTGATCTGTCACTTTTTAAATAGTACGCGCACATGATTTTTTTGCAGATCGATATTGAATGAAATGACACGAGAAATTCACTCTTGGCTAATGTATAGTTGCTCGGCCAAGAATTGACTACCGGTGTTGGGTCTACATGAAAAAAATACTGTTTCATCAATAGAATTGGTCAACAGCACGTCGTGTTTGGAATAAATCTTCATGGTTCAACATCAATGTTATTGAAACTAACACTCGAGTTATTAAAACAATATATAATGTATAATATTTGTTTTGATAACTCGAGATTTTTTTATTAGTCTCAGTAATATTACTATTGAGCCAAAAATACTTTTTCAACCACAATGCTATTAATCAATTCTATTGATTCAATATTATTTTTTTCTGTATGAATAATCGTCCGACTAAAACGCCAAGTCAGTACTGACTGCCAGTACCGAGCCAATATCGGAAATCTGGCACCTAACAGTGACCTGACACAGGACCGACGTGAAATTCTATATGGGATGATGACGCTCCGTTTAACGCACATCCAAAAGAACTGCACACGATCATCCGTGAAGCACGTTCTCCGTTATTTCCCAATGTTCTACGTTAGTTTTCCGACAAGACATCGAGCATGCCATTCCATTGTGCTATCTAAGAAGATAATTCTAAAAAATTTAATTTGCGCGATTATTTTATTTAATAATCTAAAATGCGCGAAGTAGAAGAGACCGGATCTAGTTGATCCAAGGGATATGTTGGCTATGTGCTTTGTTTATATACTTATCGTGAAGCAGTGGAAACGAAACCTTAAAATATCCCTTTTAAAACAGGTAATTTTTCTTGAATTCCATTAAAATCGAAGTGATATTATAGTTAAAAAGGTTTTTAAATTTTGATTTAAAAGCAGCCAAGTACATTTTCGAACATCTCGAAATTTTCTACACAGAAAAAAATTATAATTCTACTTTTACAAAAAGTGATTATTCAGTTTACTTTCCTTCTTTTAAATAATAATTATCTTCAAAAAAAGAATATTTTCTTAATAAATCTTAAAATATATTCATCACAAATTTGAGAAAAATTTATTATTATGTACTCAAAAAAAGAATTTATTCTCTTATAGAATATAAAACAAAAATATAAAACTTATCAAAGAAAAAGTTAGTTCTATTATGTTGTAAGCACAAACTGAATTTTTGTTTTATTTTAATATTTCTGATTGAAATGTTAGATTTAGTGGAATTCAGAATGTCTCTTGAATAAACTTGATGCTTGTAATAAACTTTTGATAGATTTACAGATATATAAATTTATTAAATACTTAAAACAAGCAATATTTACTTGAATGCAATATTTTTCTGTATATATATATTTTTTTTCATCTCTTGTGAACGAGTAAACTTGGATCATGTGTTATTAGTTAAAATAAAGTTTCCTGCAAGTATATGATACATTTTTCGGATAATAAAAGCAATTTTTACTCATAAAATGATTGAAATTGAACATACGGATGAACGAGGTATAAAATTAATCCATAATTAAAGACCGACAGGAAGGATTGTAGAGCCATCTCGTGAAGACCCCGGAACTATTAATCGAGATGCATATTTCATATGTAATCTTCTTACCTTGGGCTTCTAGCCAATTTCACTTTATTTCACTTAATAGGACAAGATGATCACGTTGTATCCATGTTTATATTTCGGTTATTACAAAACAAAATATAGAGTTTAGAGAATTATTGCAGACATAAACATGTAGACATAAGCATGGATAATTGTCTGTATTATTTATACAATTAATCACAACAATTAGATGTCTAAGAAGTTGTAACTCCAGAATTCTGAGGAATGTAACATCTTTTATCCTGGTCTTTCCTACTTTTGAGAATAACTGATCAAATGTTAGGAGTTTAACCGACAGAAATCGAGTAGAAATAATTCTAATCGATCATGATTACGTATACTAAGAAAAAATATCTAAAAATTAACAAATATTTATTAGATGGATACCATGTTTACTTAAATCAAAATTCTTTTCATTTAAACCGAGTATTGTTTACTTAAACCGAGTAAACAATACTCGGTTTGAATAAAAAAAATTTTAATTTAAATAAATATGTTAATGGTAAATATAAATATTAATAAATATTTGTTAATTTTTAGATATTTTTTTTCAGTGTATGTCAATTATTAAAACATGAAAAATAGTTTACATGTCAAATATTTGTATACTGTCGTATTTACATAAATATATGTTTACATACTTTCTAAGTATAATCACTGAAAGGATCAATTGATAGCAGCGACTGTTCCCGTTATTGATGTAATTTGCAAACACAAACAGTGTCATTACTCGCAAGGTGCATAAAAGCCGTTAATTCCATTGCTATATACGCAAAGAGTTGTATTTGAGCGGATAACAAAGTTGTATACTATAAATTTTGTAGTAAAATCTTATTCTTCCACTAGTTAAAATCAATAAGATATAATAGAACAGTTAAATGGCTATGTTTCCATCGAAAATGTAATGCAATAAATATTCACTGATTATGAAATACTGCTTTCATTCAAACATTTTTATTGATTCACTTTAAGACCAATTACTACAGTATAGGAGATGTACCTGAAGAAAGCTAATTTAATTTTACATTCCATGTACTCATATAACACGTTTTACAAAGCTTTTACGAAACATACATGAAACAAATAAACGATCTTTTAGAAAATAGCAGAAGAGAGGCAAAAATAATCGGAAAGTCGCTCAGTTGGCAATTCTGCTCAAAACCACATAAGGATCCGTAACCACATTCCTCCTCCTGATTCGAAAATCCCAAACCTTGAACTAGATTCTAGGTTAATGAATCGTGCCGGTCGGCGACGAAAATCAACGGATACGCAGTAATGTTACGTAATGTACCCCGACCACCATCCGAGCACCTATCGTTCACTTAACCCGTCCTCATCCAACGTCTTATTAACCGTTTCTGTGCACGTTACGTATGCGATCAAGTTGCTCGTCGCTATACATAAAGTGTAAAGACTGTGCTTAACATTTCTGCAGATTTACTGTAATCAATCAAGGTGTCGCGTACTTCTGTCGCGTGCACGTCAAACGTATTGTAAAACGAACGAATTAATAAAGCAGCTTATCGAATCTTTCGCCGCTGCTGTCTGAAAGTTCTTAATCGTAGCTAGACACGCACACAATCGTTATGTGCGATTTTGCAGCTTGAGTTATAATTGTTCCTAATTTCACGTACACAGAGAAAAGTCCGGACACTTTCCCGCAGTTTTTCCGGCGTTTAACTGCCGATCTCGTTGAAGTATCGAACGATAAAGTAACTAATGTTGCAAGAGAGCATGGAAAACAATTGCTATTTAATCAATATAATAGAGATGTGCGAATTATTCGAATTCGAATTGAATTGAATCAAGTGAAATTCGATTCGATTCAAATTCGAATTATTATTATTCAAATCGAAAAGTTTCGAATACGGATCGCGCACATTAGCATTAACGAAGTACTATTAAAGATATCCAGCCTTACAGGAATTAGCATGACTTGAAAAGTCTGCTATACATTAAGATTTTCTCCAAAAATATTAAAAGAAGTTAATGACTTCCAGATAAACTCTTACCGACAACTGTCGGATCGATATGTGTCGTTGTGCAGCTTTCAAAGCTGGAACTGAAATATATTATATATTTCTTAACTTAAAATAAATTGATATCATATAATCAATGTTATCTCTCTCATACTGAAGTCACTATTTTCGTTGAATTCGATGATTATGTTAATTAAAACTTCTTTCAACGATTTGATTCGATTTTATTCGATTCGATTCGGATGAAGTTTCATCGATTCGATTTGATTCGAATTCGAAATTAAAATTTAAGATTCGATTCGATTCGACATAAAAAAATCTTTGATTCGAACATCTCTACAATATAACTGGTAATATATGAAATAAATGGTTGTTGAAATAAGTCTTCTTGATTCTCAATGGTAACGTTATTAAAACTAATACTCCAGTTATTGAAACAATGTGTTTGTTTTAATAACTCGAATTTTAATAACTGTCGAAAAGATCAAAAAGATTTATTTCAACCACGACCAATTCTATTGATATAAAAATATTTTTTTTTTCACGTAGAGGAATCTTTCTCTGTGTAAAGGATACATTGTATACGTCAATTTGTCTCTCACCTCTGTAGAATCCGTCCAATTGGTCTCTACTGTCTTTGTCGTCCGTCATTGTTCATTGTTGACAATCATATCGATGTTCATTGAGTTAAAAGATCGTATCGCAAAATGGAGAAGCCGAGTGGATCTTGCAACAGACGATGCCAAACGTTACGTTCACGGTAACGAGCATCACGATTATCCGTCGTGAGTGATATCGTCCACCTTGCGATTCGATGATATACGACATACTTGTAAATAATACATATATGTGAAAATTCTTGTGTGTGTTGATACGAATAGGTCCGGACACGCAGCGCTGCACAGGCGCCGGTTCTAGTAAGTACATATTTATGAGAGATCGATGTTCTGAACTTCTCTGTGCCAAAGCATCCGAGTCCTACGCTTCTTCACACACGTATACACACGCATACACGTACACACCGCTATATGCATCCTGACGGCTGACGCACTAATGAAGGATCACTTTGCGCGGTTTATGCCGTTCATTACTACCATCGCAACGCTTGAATCGATCACCTTTTTTTTTCGTTCAACTATTTACCCCTTTCTCCTACGCGAAGCTGGTGTTCTTATATAACTGTAACGTCAAGCCGAATTGTGTAGCTGGCTTCGATAACGCAGAGTTGAGAAGATGTTGCGGGAACCAAGTGATTTTTCGCTAGTGCATCATCCGTGGTTGATCTGTGTATTGACGATACTCTGCAAAATGTGTCCGTAAACAAGCGTATCTCGTTGAAAGCATATCCTTAACTATCTGTATGTTCATTGATGATCAGAATAGTATCCACATCCCATCGTTCCTGCAGCTCTTTGCTCCGGTGCGAATGCGTGTTCGACGACAGAGAGAAAGAAAGATGCAGTGCGCGGACAAAAATGGATGTCTCTCAATGGAACGAGAAGAGCCCTCACATTCACACATTCCACTCGTCTCAGATATACGATTGACATAACTCATGAGACTCTTTAAAAGTCGTTTCCTTTCTTTTCTTTTTTGGTAGAACTAGCGATTGATATGAAGCAGTATGTACGATCTTAGTAGAGAGTCGACTAATTAACTGGAGCTTTCCGAGCTCTTCTTCCTTTTCGTTATTTATCGAATTCTTGGCGCGAAGCTAATTGAAAAAAGAAAAGAAGTGTCAGCGAATATATTCAATTGTTATTCCTATCTTGAGTGTGCACCGATTAGATTCGTGCAGCACGTGGAATGCATCATTCTCTGCACCTGCCCTGTTTAGAATGTGTTTAGAATAACTGAGACTTTGCGAGCGATTGTGTATACTAATCCAATCGTTTCGATATTTTTACATGTAAGTAAATCTAATGAAGTACGATTATCCCTTAAAACAAAAGCAAAAAGAAGAATAGAATAGTGTGATGAAAAATATCTCCAAATTAGCTCTCGCTGGCGCGGCTACGTGGCGAAATGTATTTTGTATTTTTTTCATTTTTGTAATGTAACACGGGCGTTTAACGGCGTTGTCGATCGTGACTAATGATCCATCGCGTAAATGGCGAGACAAAATTGGAACAATAAAGAAATTTCTAATTTTCTTACTGAAAAAAGCCGTACTCTTGTGAACAGAATAATCGACAAACGCTCATCGACTACGTCGGTCGCTCGATGACGACAAGAAACACGCAATAATGCATCTTTTTATTTCAAATGGGACAGACAAACCAGACTGCAAAAAGTGTCTGAAGGCCCTGCAGGAACTGGAGAACATCGACGACGAGGCTGATCAGTTAGGCATCGGCTTCGTGAAGATCGCGGACGAGGAGCTCGCGGACGAGTATAATCTCGGCCCTCTTCCGGTTCTTGTGTACTACAGGCATCAGATTCCAATAATTTACGAAAGTAAGTACGAGAAGACGTGGAGTGGACGACACGCACAGAACACGCAACATGTGCGCGCTTAAAATTTAAATTGATTTGTGTATACAGGGTGAAGCAATAACTATTATCATCTTGAATATCTTCGAAAAATATGAGAGTAGGAAAAAATTTATCTAATGTAAATTACATGGTGTCTTTAACATTACATGTTAAAAGCTGTCGTCCTAATCTAATGGCGATAACGCTTTTTCTCTACACTGAAAAAAATATAAGAAAAAAATAATTGGAATAACTATAATCTCACTATATTTTATAGTTCATCTAAATATGAAAATATAGCAGAATGAACACAGATTTATAGTCACCATTTTATTACTCTATGTGTATAGTAAAGCACACTTTGGGAATATAGTTACATGTATCTATATTTAGCCAAATATTCCAACTGTATTGACTATATAAAATAGTTAATTTCCCTTACCATTCAATATTTGCTACTTTACTATATTTTTTATTTCAAATAATTATAATTTTTAGTAAAAGTTTTACATGAGTCAATTATACTATACTTATATTGTAAATATTACAAACTTTATGATGACATTTACTATAAAAATGATATTCCTAACTATAATCTTTTTACTGTGCCATTATAATTCCAAATATATTTTTCATATATTTTTCTCTCAGTGTAAGTATACCTTCGAATTATTACATTCAAATTATTATTAATACCTTCGAATTATTTTGCAAGTTATTTTGCAAGTAAAGTAAATTTTTAGATTAATTAAAAAACATTGGTGCATTATATTATTATAGCGCGCGATTATCCTATTTTTCTTTAATTAACTCAAAAATATCTACGTGATTATTTGCAGAGATGATATAAAATTTTTCAGTTTGACGTGTAATTGTTTGCAAAATGGTGAAAGAATTTGATCTTCTATTTGACTTAATTTATGTGTATACATAGAGTGTCCGGTAACTCATAGAGGAGCCGTGGTGTACAGACAGATTAAATAAAATTGAAAAAAAATTCCTCCACCATTTTGCGAACAACTAACTAAAATTTTAAGTTATTAATGAAAGAAGTTTGAAGAAGTGCACAGTTGTACGCGATAATGCACCAATCTTTTTTAATTAATAATTAAATATCTATATAGTCTTTTGAAAAACGCTACAGGACTTTTTGTTTCACCTAATATACAAGCATACACCGGCAAATGTCGCTATGCTAAATATGCATCGCTTTATTTTACCATATTTAACGGAAATCACGCATATACAAAAATCTTTCTGCAAACATTTTATATATTTTTAAGCTTCTAAATTTCAATTATAAAAAAATAGTAATATTGTTTGAAATTTTTTTGGGCGAAGCAAACGCACTTTTGATATATATAGAATTTGATAGCTACAGAGCTTTTATATCAGGCAAGTATTTGCATTAATTGATAGCTCGAGATGTTAATTGTAAAATTTGTTATCGTTTTCGTTACATATTAAGTCATATTAATTCATTTTTGTACGTAATTTTATTATATAAAAATATTTATAATTTTTCTGTAACCAATACAATGTAAACTTTGTAGGAAAAGATCAATATTTGGTCCATAAAGTTTGCAAATATGACATCCCTTAAATACAACAGAGAAATAAAAGAAGAATAAATTATCTTTTGTGATATATCGTATACCTATTGTATCATGTTATATTATTCTTCTTAATAGTCGCTATCAAAAAATAAATACAAAAAAATAATGTCCATTAGTAAGCAAAGATGATCGTCAAATCTTCGAAGCTATTCCACCTAAAAGAAAGTTTTACTCTCATAAAACAACCACTTCTATAATTTCTATTAGATACATCTTTCTCCTATTCTCATATTTCAAAAATATTCAAGGTGTTCATAGATATTGCCTCATCCTGCATGGATTTCAAAGAAATTTGGCATAAATTTAAATATTACATCTTGAAAAGACAACAATTAATACATAATACGCGCTCTCAGATGAACTGAGTAGAGAAGAGGATGTGCTGGAGTGGCTAGTGGCGAACAAGAGCACAGGAGATGAAGAGGACGTCATCGAGGATGTCTCCTCTAAGACTTTGAACACGCTGATTGGAAACATCGACAATCTAGTCGTTCTGTTCTGTTGGCATCCTTTCATATCGTTTTCACTATTATCTTGGCCCAATTCTTCGCTTTCGTTGCGTGTAACGCGCCTTCGTGTTTGCAGACGATCACGGCGACGAGGAGTCTATGCAGATTTTGAACGAGCTGGAGAAGATTGACGACGACTGCGACAGGCATGGCATCCAGTTCGTGAAGATCGACGACGACAAGGCGACGGAGGAATTCGGGATCGACGATTTGCCCGCGATCGTCTACTTCGAGAAACAGATCCCGAACATTTACGACGGTGGGTAGGTGGATCGAGCACTCGGCGAAAAGAACAACATCTAAAAATGATATTGTAAGAGTCGGAGAGAAAAGTATATCGGACGCCGGAGCGTCGCTGGGCCGGAACTCGAACCCGGGACCTTTCGCTTGCCGGGCGACTGCTCTCTCCACTGAGCTACCCAAGCTCCCTGTCCCAATACATTCTCTCTCGTCTTCTTATTATATGTTATTGTTGTTTCGTCAGTATCCTCAGTTCGCTCTTCAAATCCCACAATATCGCAAAGTAAACCGATAGCAAAAAGAACTCTCGTGTACGAGAAACTAAAGTGACTCGACGATTGCAGGAGATCTGGAGAACGAGGAGGAGATCCTGGAATGGTTGCTGTCGCAACTGGAGAAGGACGAGATCGAAGACGTCACCGACGAGATGCTGGACCATCTCATCAAGGAAGGGAAAACCCTGGCCGTGCTGTTCTGTAAGTCGCACGCGCGAAGGTTCCGCGTCAGCCCCGGTGAAAGTCAAAATAAATAATATCAGAACTCATCCGTGATGATCGCAGACGACAACAATGACCGAAAGTCGCAAAGGGTTCTCAATGAATTGGAGAACATCGACGACGAGTGCGACCAGCTCGGCGTGACGTTCGTGAAGATCGACAACATGGACGAGGCCAAGGAATATGGCATCGACAAGGTGCCTACGATGATCTACTTCGAGCAAGGTATCCCGATGGTATACCAAGGCAATCTCGAGGATGAAGACAAGGTGCTCAAGTGGTTGGAGCAACAGCAGAAGGCCGATCAGATCGAGGACGTCACCGACGAGATGCTGGACATGGTTATTGAGAAGATGCAACACGTAGCCGTCCTCTTCTGTCAGTAACACACCTCTCTCGCGCTTCCTATACGTGTCTGACTTTTCCGTTCGATACCGTTCGCGCATAACTAAAGATCGCTCTTGCTCGCTGACGCTTACGATTCTCTCTCTCTCTCTGTCGCCACTCTCTGTATAGATGACAAGGATCAAAAGAAGAGTCAGAAGGTGCTAACCGAGCTGGAGAACATCGACGACGACTGCGACGACCACAATATCGCTTTCGTAAAGATCAACGATTTGGAAGAGGCGAAAGAATACGGTATAGAATCGCTTCCCACGCTGGTCTTCTTCGAACGGAGAATACCACACGTTTACGACGGTCAGTATCTATCAAACTTTCGTTTTTACGTAAGAGAGCAACAAGATACCTAGACAAAACAATTAACAGTAGCATTACATCAATGTAATTTTTCATTTAGTAATATAAGAATAATAAAATATATGTTGTACATAAAGTAACCTAATTATGATCCATACCTCTCACAAATACTAAAATATATTTTAGAGATGTCCCAAAGATATCACACATCTCTGGGACGTCTCTGGAATATATTTTGAACATTTGTGTTGTATGGAAAGTTATTTAGAATCAGAATAACTTTCATTCATTTACATAAATTTGTTGATCGAACATTAAGAAGAACTGTTAACTGTTAAATATAAGCAACAAACATCATAGTTTTAAAGCAAAATTATTAGACTTTAAATTAATTGTTTCTAAAAAAAGAAAATAATTAGAATACGTCTATACGTATGTCCCAATTATGCGTCAGCAAATTATTTCAACTTATAACGAATTATACGATATCTCAAATTTTATCATACTAGATGATGATGCTAGATACTAGGTTTTATAATTCCTGGGTCGCCTCCATTCTTGGACCGCTTTTATTCCTGGGTTATCTCTATTTCTAGGCCGCTTCCATTTCTGAACCACTTCCATCCCAAAATTGTTACCATTCCTGAACTACTTCCATTTCTGATATGCCTTTATTTCTGAATTGTTTCCATTGCTGGACCGCTCAAAATCTTTGTAATACTCGAAGGGTATCCTATTTTAAAGTTTCCACTAGAATATCTCTTCAGGAAAGCATTTAAGAAAAAAATGTTTTAGATAAAAGTTATAGAGTTCGAAGTGGCACACTCGATGGTGACCTTGAACTTGACCCTGGGGTCAGATTTAGAGGTCATTTGAAAGTCAACTTCTTTAAATGGAAATCCCCACTTTTGACTCTAGAGATGAAAAGAGCAGGAAATTCTGCGTTCAGCTATGTATTACGTTATAGAGTCAAATTGACTCGTAGGGTCATTTCAAAGTCAAATAAGTTACCACTGAAATAACTACTCAAGAAATCATTTCCAAAAAATGTTTTAGGTAAAAGTTATAGGGTTTGGAAGGGCACACTCGATTGCCCTTATTATATTGCATATATACGTATTTAATCCGGGAATGAACGTCTAATTTTTTTGCACGAATTATTATTTAGAATATTTGTTACAATCCAAATAAGAGTCACTATTATTAATAATATATTCTCGATGCAACCTCGAAATTTTTGGAGTATCGAGACTACGAGACAAAGACATTATCTACCGGTATTTTATATCTTCCTTTATTTTTGTTTTACTTTTTGTTGCACTACTTTCTATTCTTAACCGAGAAATAAGAAAGACATTGAGTGTATCAATCTCTTAAACAATATCATATTTGTTTAAAATAAAAACTTGTATATAAACTATCTTATCTCCCTGAATTTGGCAATCAAACCAAGTTTGATCCGAAATTCGGACTTGACCCATATTTGGGATATAATAATTAATATAATGTTGCTATTTGTATTTACCGAGGTTAAGATATAAATAAAAATAATAAAGATATAATTAAATATAAATAATAAAGATATAATTAAATATAAATAATAAGGATATAAATAATAGTAATCATAAGATAAAACGGTCATTGCTGACAAAATTGCTTCACAATTATGTCGCAGGTGATCTCATGAACGAGGATCAATTGCTGGGCTGGCTGCTGCACCAGAAGAAGCATGTCGAGATCCCGGAAATAACAGACGAGATGCTGGAAAAGATCGTGGAGACCTCGCCATTTGTAGCAGTCCTGTTTTGTAAGCGATCGATTCGTCTTTCTACCTCCTTTTAACATTCTTCCACTGTTAGGTAAGGTGCGCGTTGCCCAACACTCGCGAGTTATAGCGACTGGCAATTCGATTTCTTTCCGTAGACGACAAAGATGACAAGCAAAACATGCGGATACTGAACGAGCTGGAGAACATCGACGACGAGCTGGAGAAGGAGGGCATCGTGATCGCACGTATAGACAACGACGCCGAGGCGAAGGAATACGGTATCGATCATCTGCCGACCTTGATATACATCGAGGACAAAATCCCGGCGCTCTACGAGGGCGACTTGCTGAACGAGGATGAGGTCCTTGAGTGGCTGATAGAGCAGAAGAACACCGCCACCATCGAGGAAGTCACGGATGAAATTTTGATGGACCTCATAGACGACCACGAATACGTCGTGGTGTATTTTAGTAAGTTCGCGCGTTTCTTATCGAAAGAAAAATCACGGACTAACGTCGCTCCGCAACGTTCTCCACTTGCTCGAAATATTATTGCAAAAGTTCGTCGCGGATTTTATAATTCTCTCTCGTCGATACTAAAATTATTTCGACAGCTTACAAATAAAATAAGAAATATAAAAAGTAATGTTAGCAGGATTTTTTCTTCTCCATTATATATTATATTCTCTAGGATATTTTCCTATAAAAGAGACTATCTTTTTACTATTTGACTTAAATTTAATCTACGATTAAACAGTTAATTACGTATAAAACACATATATTTCTTTGCAATCAAATTAACTTTAATCTAAAAAAGTTAATTTTTATTTTAACTTAACTTCCAATTCAGTTAGTTTTTTCTATAACTTTTAACTTAACTAAATTTATTTTATAGGTTACCCCCAGCCTTAAATTTAACTTAGTTTAACTTTTTAACTAACTCAGTTAAAAAAGAAATTAACTTATTCTTAACTCTCTGTTTAGATTATATTACATTATTATATATTATATATTATATATTATATATTATATTATATATATATATATTATATTATATATATTATATTATATATATATATTATATTATATATTATATTATATATATATATTATATTATATATTATATTATATTATGTTACGATCCTGTATTCTAAAAACGTTATTTGAAAATTCATTGTTTAAACCAATAAAATCATCGACGATCCGATTTTTGCAAGGCCCCATATATTCGTCGACAATTCGATTGTATAAATCATGACGTCAGGTGGAAGCTGCGACGAAAGTGAGGAATGCGACAATATTCTCGACGAGCTGGAGAATATAGATGACGAGCTCGACGAGACAGGCATCATATTCGTCACCACCGAGGACACCATCGTCGCGAAGAAATACGGTATCAAGCATTTTCCAACCCTCGCGTTTTTCCGCAACAAAGACCCGCTGATCTATACCGGCGATCTTGACGACGAGGACGAGGTGCTGTCTTGGATCACGGACGAGGATACTCTGGAGATACCGGGGAAGATCGAGGAGGTGAACGCTAGGATGCTGGAGAACATCCTCGACGAGAACGACTACGTCGTGGTCTTTTTCTGTACGTTGAACCGAATCGCCAATTGTCTAGTCGAGCAAATTGCTGCTTGCTCGAATCCCCCGACTGATAATAAGGACGCATCGCGCGTCGCTTGTTTGCAGACAAAGAAGGCGACAAAAAGAGCCAGAAGATCCTGCAGGAGCTCGAGAACATCGACGACGAGTGCGAAGAAAAGGAGATCGACTTCGTGAAGATCTCCGACGAGGGTATCGAGAAAGAGTACGATCTGGCGGGGCTGCCGGCGTTGGCCTTCTATCGACACAAGTTCCGGCAGATTTATGGAGGTGATATGATGCACGAGGAGAAGATCTTGGAATGGGTCCTCGACCTTCGAACGACCACGCCGGACGTTATCGAGAGCGTCGACAGAAAAACACTGCAAGTGCTCATCAATGACGCCGAACACCTCGCCGTATTCTTCTGTGAGTATCCTCGTTATCTCACCTTCAAAACAATTCACGGCCGATTTCACGATTTTAACGCAAGTCACGATGTTCCGCAGACGACGACAAGTGCAAATCCTGCCCGGAGATCCTCGAGGAGTTAGAGACGATTGACGACGATTGCGACAAGCATGGTATCCAGTTCGTCAAATCGAACGATGCCAAACTCGCGGCCGAGATCGGCGTCTTCTCCTTCCCGGCTCTCGTTTACTACGAGACCGGAGTGCCCATCATGTACGACGGTAAGTGACAAGAACATATACTCTTTTTACTTTTTATCGTTAAACTCGACCTGTTCCCCCGCCGTATGATCTTCGTTTCCTGCGTATTTCAAAAGCGATGCTAATATTATTGTAAACTCGAGAGGAAACGGGATCAGGCACCTTACGCCCTGCCACATGTTGTCCCTTTACTAAGTCCCTCTTCTTCGACGTGAGATAAGTCTGTGATCGAGAAAAATATTCCTAGTAAAAAAATATTAAATGCACGCAGAGAATTTTTCTCAAAGTCATAAACATTCATTAACTAAAAAGGTTATGTATGGTTACAATCTTAATCGGCTAGGATATATTTACAAAGAGTGCAGCCAAACCGCCATTTAACCCCATTTTTTATAAGTTTGAAAATGGTCATAATTTTGGTATTTTCTGAAAGCTTATTGCGAGTAGATTCGAAATATATAAATGTCAAGGTGGCGTTCTATACCATCATTTGGTATCTTAGCTATGGTCACAAACATGGTTTTGTAATTTCGAAAACGTTGAACGAAAACATCTGCGATATTACTATAAGAATTAATAATGATCAATAAAATATCTTATTTTGTTTCATTTTTATATGAATTGTTCTCTCGAAAGTGAAATTCTTTTGAGCCATTTTTCTCTGAAACAGTGTGGAGTGTCACTTTGATATTTATATATTTGAAATCTACTCGCAATAAGCTTTCAAAAAAAACCAAAGTTATGACCATTCTCAAACTTACAAAAAATGGAAACTTGACCGCACTCTTTAAAGAAAGTATAGGGAAGATTGCGGCCAAATGCCTATTGGCTAGTGTGGTCCACTTTATCAAAAGAAAATGTTGAATTCAGATTGCTTTTATTTTATAGTTTGTAGTGTACTGATTTACAAATATGCAAGTCACAAGATGGACCGACATATCGTTTCAAAATAGTCCATTTGAAATTGCACCCCACTAGATAGCGCTATTTATTTTCACAAATAAAAAGTGAAACTATGACAGTGACACACTGAGAAAAATAGTTTTACTAATCGTTGGTTAGGTCATCAAAAAAGAATACAAAAGAGTCTCTCCCTATCTCTTCCTGTCTCTCCCTGTCTCTCCCCGTCTCTCCCCGTCTCTCCCCGTCTCTCCCTGTCTCTCCCTCTGTCTCTCCTTATAATTATTAATTAATAAAAGTATATTTTAATTTAATTTAATTTTTATTTTACAATTTTTATTGTTTTTTATTAGCTATATGGCGCGCGCGCAGCGCGCGCATGTATTGTTCTAGTTTAACAAAAAATACCAGTATCCGCAATAAATAGCCGATAATATAGAACAGCAAACAATTCTACTATGAAAACAAATGACTAGTCGCTTTCAATTTACTGCTACAGCAGTAAACTTTTGTAATGGATACAAATACTACTGCGCAGTTAACCCAACAAATTATAAATTTGATTTGCTAGAAATGCAGAAGTTAGAAATGAAGTGGTTAACAATGACGTTAAACAAATCGATTGTATTAACAATGAAATATTTCTTTCTGTAAGAGTTTGAGGAAAGAAATAATAGTGCGTTATTGTTATATTAAATACCGGATCTATTTCTTTGAAACCACTTATTTTCTGTACCGCAATATTTCACGTATACACGCACCATAACAACTATCTCGCTCTGACTAGGCAGATTCTCAGACAATTGGCACAGATTGAATTAGTTGGCACGTTGATTACACTTTAAAATCACCAGTAAGATTAAACACAAGCTATCAAAAAATAAATTGCATTACAAATTAAGAATTTTATTTTATGAAAATAAATGGTGTCATTTAGTGGGTTTCCATTTTTTCTGAAACGGTAAAGCGCCAAAAATTATAAAATGAGACCAATATGAATTCAAAACTTTTTTTTAATAAAGTGGACCGAACTTAGCCGCAGACTTAGAGAATAAAAAATAAAACTGTAGGCAGAAGTAATTATTTTCAAGAAGTATGGAACTTTTTCAATAGCTTTGAAACACGCGTGCGAAAAAGATTCCCCCATACTGAATTACATCTTTCATATATATCATGCATTACTTTAATACTAGACAAAGAAAAGTTTGATTGAATTAACATGTTAATGAACAAAGCAAATGCGTTTTGGGTGAAGGCAAATGCGTTTTTGGTGAATTTCTGGCTTTTAGAACAGAACTTGGTTCATAAAAATCAGAAATTTGGTTTACTTCAACAAAAAGTCAACTCAATAAATCGATTTAGGCAACAGAGTTCCTTTGCAAATGATGACAAGCAATGCAACGCGATCGACACAGTTACAATTATCTATTACTACACAGAAGCGTAATGAATGTTCCATTTTTTCTGCAATTTTCATAGGCGCGCATATATAGTAATACTATATGTTACACAATAGTTACAAACCGAAATATAAAATAAAATCTTTTTCTATGCTGGTAGAAATAACGAACAATCCAAGTTGCATCATCGAAAATACACATCCCATACAGTAAATATATCCTTGAGAGGTCCCACAGATATTCAGTATTCTTGGGATGTATTTTTGTAGGATGTATTTAACACATTAGTGCTACATGGGATATATCAGTATGAGATATTTTTAACTCTTCTAATATTTTCCTGTATGCTTAAATGTATGCTAAATTTGTATATCATTAGGTTTATAAAATATATCTGACCAAACTATTCCTTTATTGCTGTTGCATATAAATTTTGACTTTAATATGGTTATATAGATAGGATGTCCTAGCTCTCCTGACTTTAATTTATATTCACAAGTTCGCTGAGGAATTTAAAGTTAATTTTTCCTCAGCAAAAATGAGGCATCAGTAGTTTTTGAGATACAAACGATCGAAAAAATGAAGCTTTTCGCAAACTAAACTTCGAACAACCAAATGACAAAATTTTGCTGTATTAATTTCAAGTGGATTTTTCTTTTTAATAGAATTTTATTTTAAACCTTAGTTAGAAATATATGTTATGTTGAAAATTGAAAAGTCGTCATGAATAATAATGACCTCCGTCGATATTTTCGATGAGGAAGAATTAATTCTAAATTGCTCAGAAAATACCTGTCGGTATAAATTAAAGTCGCGAGAACTGAAGCACTTATATATACAAGGTGTCTCACACGAACCACCAAATATTAAAATGGCAGATAGTAGAACTCAAACCGAGACGAAAAGTCTTTGCTATTTTTAATACGAGCAATAGGTAACGAGTTATTAATTAATTAAGTTTGATGTTTAGCGCATCTTCATTGGTAAAATACAGGTAATGCCGCGTGCTGAAAAAAATGCTAACTCCCATCTTTACCTACCCCTTTAAAAGTCAGTTATTTTAACTTCTTGGTAAGTCTTTAGAGGTGAGTTATTTTAACTTCTTAGTAAATTAACTGATAGTTAAATCATACATCTGATTTTGTTTTTCTTTTAATTTAGACAAAGACAGACATATAATTTAACTATCAGTTAATTTACCAAAAAGTTGGACCGGTTCTTAGTCTAGCTTCGCTATTCTGATTTGTGGAGCAGGAATTCATTAATCAGAATATCAAAGTTAGTCCAAGAGGCGGAGATTCATATTTTTCAGTGTGTGGTACCACCTATTCTCCACCAATTTCGTGCAGCACGTTAAATATCAAAATTAATTAGTTAATAACTCGTTAAATATTGATCGTATTAAAAAATAACAAAGGACTTATTGTCTCTAAATCTTACCTCTACCATCTGCCGTTTTAATAAACACTTGTTAGTAGAACACCCTGTATACATATCCTAATTGCATAATCAAGTCTTGTAAATTATACTATTACTATACTCTATTATTCAACAAAAATTTTCTGTGTGTATCTTTTTTGCACTTAGCTATTGTATAATAATATAGTTATTGGTTTACGCGCAAAAGTCGATCTTGTCGCATTTTTTGGCATATACTCTGAATATTCCAAATAGCTTTAAGAAGATTGAAAAAAGCTCACGATATCTCGTGCAAATGAAAATATATGCACTACATTTACTGAAATGAAAATTGCTTATTAAAATAAAAAATTTGCTTATTAAAGTCGAAAAACCGAATTTGGTTTCTTTTGAAAATGATGTTAATATAATACAAGTTTACATTGAGAGACGATTACGACATATCGAAGAGAGACTTAGCGCGTTACTTCCAGCAACCACCACGTCGATAAAGCGATAACGACCTCTACCGACAATGATCTCGGTGCATCAACGAACCTGGCTGATCCTGATACGCGTGTGTGCCTTTTGTAGGTAATCTTAAGAACGAGGACAGAGTTCTGGCATGGCTAATCGAACAGAAAAGTAAGGAGATTTCTAGGATAATGATTATTATTACTGGTGTATTGTTCTTTGTGACGTTAATCTCGGTCGTGACTATACCACCGGGCTACGAGTACAACACTCGCGCCGTGGTGATCACTCCGATCACACTACCACCATCACGATCGCCATAATCACAGTCGCGAGAAAAAAATACAGAAAAAAAAGCAAAAATGAATAAAAGATCCTTTGTACATATACACATATATTATACATACGAGGAACTTTCCTGTTTTGTCGTCGATTTAAAGGCGTCACGCACACGTCGGCTCGTGTACATGTCGAAGGGAGTTCGATCAGAACGTGATACGTCACGAGACTCGGTGAAACGCGTTATGACGTTGCGTAACTTTGCATTTCTTGCATACGCGCTGACCAGGGCAGTTCTGGCCACGGTACAATGCATTTAAATCACATTTGCAAGCTTATCACTTTTATACACGCTTGTCCTTCACTCACCGTTTTCAATTGTTGTCGCACACTGCCCAGTGAACGGCCAACTAACGATAATGTTACATTGATACTGATAATTTCTCACTCAACATTACGTAACACGCGTCACTGTTACGTACAACGCGTGTTATATTGCACTTACGTTGCTGAGTGAGAAATTATCCAAATAAACGACGAAATTGAATCAACATCTTGATTATTGATTTT